CCGTGCGCCGCGCGCGCGGGCTGTGCGCTCTCTCCAGGCCCAGGCGCGCCCCGATGCCGGCCAGCACGAGCAGCGCAGCGACGCCGCACACCGCGTAGACGGCCGTGTGGCTGCGCTCACGGCCCGGGTCCCGCGGGGCGGCGGTGTCGCGGGCGCGGGCGGGCGGCCGGCCAGTCTGTACCCAGGCCGGCGTGTCGTAGTTGGAACAGCGGCTCTGGTCCAGGCGCCGCGGGCCGTCGTGGCAGCAGAAGCGGTAGCCGCACGTGCCGCAGCAGAAGCTGTAGACGCCCGAGCTGCAGTTGAAGGGCGGGTCCCACTGGCCCATCACGTCGTAGTAGCCGCGGCAGCGGTCGCCTCCTGCCGGGGCCGCCGTGCCCGGCGCAGCGGGCTCCTGCGCCTCGGGGGCCCCCGCGCGGCCCGACGGCGACCCGGCCAGCAGCAGCGCCAGTCGGAGCGCTAGCCGGAGCCCGGACGGACGCCGGACGCCGCGCAGCCCCCGTGCCCACGCACGCTCCATGCGGCCGAAGCCTGCGGCTACTGTGCCCCACGCATCCCGGCCCTGCCCCTCCGGGCCATCCGCACCCTCAGCCTCTCGTGGGCTCCGGAGTCGGGTCCGGGTGCGCGGGGCTGCGTCCTCCTCCGGGGCGCACCTCAGACCCGCGCTGGGATGCGGCTCCCCGGAGCGGCGCGGCGGGTCCACCCTGCGCGGGGTCCGCGGCTTCTCCCGGGCGGAGACTGAGCCCGGGCGGCGGGTCTCCGGACGCCGCTGCCTTCCCGCCGCCCGCTCCGCGCTGCCGGCGCTCTGGCTCCGACTCCGGCTCCGGCTCCGGCTCTGGCTCGGCGCGGGCTCCGGCGGGATGGGAGGGGGGAGCGAGGGGAGGAGGGCGGGAGGGAGGCAGAGCCAGAGGAGGAGCGCGGCCGCAGAGAGGGGAGGGAGGGGCTCCGCGGGGCCCGCGCGGCCCTAGCACCCGACCCGGGACCCTCCGAGGCCTCCCTAAAATATTCCTCGGAATTGGGTCTCCAAGAGGGCTCAGCTTAAGGCCCCTGGGACTTTTACCTTGGACATCGGAGGCCCTGGACGAGCGCTTCCAGGCCTTTTGTAAAGGGGATAGAGATCAAAGCAGCCTGGAATGGCCCTGAAAGGGTTGGCACCCACAGCCCCCAACCCCCAACTTTCGTCCCCTCGGTCACTTCTGATTGTGATACTCAGAGGGCACCGTCCCCTTGTACGGGAAGGGCTCCCAGCACAGTGCAGGGGAAGTAAGCCTGGATCTCTTAAGCTCAGGTCTGCCCCTAACCCTGGTTCCAAACGTTTGGCTGGGGTACTCCGACGTCGCTTTCCTGCCATTCCGGTGGCCAGAACCCTCAGGCGATCTGCTCCCCTCTCCAGGTGTGATTGGAAGGAGATGGGTCGTCTTAGAAGGCTGGACAGGTGTCCTGGGGACAGGGACCGTTGCACACCTCCATGGTTGGATCCGACGCCCACAACTCCCAAGTCCTCTTCACAAGCCAAGGGAATGGATGGAGGGAAAGGAATTTGTGAATTTACCTGGAGTATGTGACCCTGAGGCAGTGCCTTTCTTATCCCAGCCTCGGTGGCTCAGGTTAAGGTAGAAAGCTCTTCCTGGTGCCCCACAGGGTGTGGCAAGACTGTGGTCTTAGCTACTTGGTAGGCTGAAGTGGGAAAAGGGCATTGGCCCACAACTTCAAGACCAGCCTGGGCAACATAATGAGACCCTGCTTCAAACAACAAGCAGATAGTGTTGAGCTAGTGGCTCACACCTGTAATGGCATTGTGAAGGCCAGCCTTGTCAACATAGTAAATTCCAGGCCAGCCTAATCTTTATCAGGAAACCCTCTAGATTAGATTAGATTAGATTAGATTAGATTAGATTAGATTAGATTAGATTAGATTAGATTAGATTGATGATAGGTAGGTAGGTAGGTAGATAGATAGATAGATAGATAGATAGATAGATAGATAGATAGATGATAGTCAGATAAATAATAGCTTGATTTGGTGTAAACTCAGGACTGGGGAGGTGGATATAGGAGGTTCAGGAGTTTAAGATTGGCCGATGTAAGGAGTCCAAGGCCAGCCTGGGCTACATGAGACCCTGTCAAAAAAAAAAAAAAAAGCAAGAGCCAGGTATGGTGCACACGTGTACTCCCAGCACTCAGGAGGCAGACATAGGTGGATTTCTATGAGTTTGAGGCCAGCCTAGCCTACCTAGCGAGCTCTAGGCTATATAGTGAAACCCTATTTCAAAAAAATTTAAAAATTAAAAAAAAAAACCCAAAAAGCAAACCAAAAGAAAAAATTTTAATAAAATAAACAAGACCTTTTCCTGAAGGGCAGATTCAGAATCCATTCCTTCCAGGGGGTAGAGATTTAATATGACACCTCTCATTGTCAGATGGGAACACCAGGACGGCAAGGACTAGGTTTCCAATTCACCCAGTGTCCCAGCACAGCTCAGGTCTCTGTCAGTATTTGCTGAATGAATGGATGAAATGATGCCAGCCTCTAATTTCTGTAGGAAGAAAAGTTAAGTCACCCTAGGGTCCTCCCTGCTCCTCCTTTCCATCTGCCCTCTCTGGGAGCCCGGGATCAAGTTTCCAAAGTGGAAGTGGAGGAGGTAAGGGAGGAAGAGGAAGGATTTACATTTTAAGGAGGATCAAGTCCTTCTGTTGCTGGAGCTGAGGGGCCGACAAGCTAATTTCAGGTATCAGTAGGCTAAGGCAGCAAGGAGGGACCTCCCCCCTCAGGCTGTGCCCTGGCTGAAGAGACAGCCTGCCTCCTCCCCTGCCCACACTCACACACGTAGGCACACACACCCACATGACTCATATGCATCCATACCCACACAGCTCCCATCCAGTTCTGAAGACCCCATCCCCATAATAAGACTTTCCACATTGCAATATAGGAAGAAAAAGAAAGGTGAGCAAGGGAATGAAGTGACATCACTTTAATCCCATCACCACAGATGGCCGCACCATGAAATGTGCATCTCACCTAACAGCCTGTTTTATGACTGGCTTTCAGTTTGTTCTCACTGCCCTTCGGCTTTTCGTTGCTCCGTTTGGAAGTTTGTAGCTGTGTTTTCTGGAGCATTCTTTTCAACTTCTTTCTGGGGTTTCCTAAGGATGGGATCAGTGTCACAAACTGCTGTGTGCATTAGGCTCCTGCCACACTTTGCCAAATTGGCGTCCATCCAGGTGACAGGGGGTCTGAGAATGCCCTCTCTCCACCCACCACCCCAACCCCTGTTTCTGAGCACTGTGCTTAAAGAGGTTTGTCTCTGCCCATTTTGGAACTGTGGCCTCCTAAGGAGGGTGATCCTCCTGGGTACAGAGTCTGCCAATGCCCTCCTGTGGGTTACATCTCTCCTGGAGCCTCCTCTTGCCCCACTGCCTTGACATCTGTTTAGCACCACACTGACTCCTATCAGGACCTGCAAATATGTGTGCAGAGTTAAGCCATTTGTCCATCAGAGGAGCTCATTCCAGCTCCCCATCCTATGCAGGTGCTGATGTCCAAACCTCACCCCGACCCTAGCTCTCTCCCCATCTTAGCCTGGTTTTGTGGATTCATAGTCAGCCAGAAACCGCAGGTGCCCACAACTACTGGGTGGGTGCCAGACGCTCAATACCCTGCTTGTATGCACACTTGGCCTTAGGTTGCGGGAGAGGGGGCAGCTAGCTGTAAGGAACAGCTTGGCTGCGTTCTGACCCCAGAACTCACACACACACACCAGGTACATGGCCACAAGCTGGACAAGGGAATCTAAAGAGAATGCAGCCTGACTGAGGATGGATCTCTTTGCCCTGGACCTTGGGGGTTCTGACCACAGCAAGACTCCGGGGCACCTGCCCCTTGTCCCTTCTACCAGCCCCTCCCAAGCCTGTGTCACCAAAAATCGTCCATTGATCCAGGCTTAAAATAACCCCTGGCATCTGCAGTGAGCCCCATGGGGCGGGCAAGAGGAGCTGAGTGTCTGCCTGAAGGGCACCCGCCCCGCCCCCAGCTCCCAGTGCTGGCAGTTCAAGTGTGCGGGTGTCTTGAGTGTGCGCCTGGATGAGTGAGAGTGCATGTCGGGGGCGAGGGTGACTTGGAGGGCCTTCCCTGCACTGTGAGCAAGCACGGGCACCTTGCTGCCTAACTCTGAACTGTGGAAGCCTGGGGTTCTGAAACTGCATAGGGATTAGCAAAAGCTTGTGTTGGGCCTCAGTGTCCCCATTTTAGATGGTAGGTGACCGGCTGGTTTGCAGCTCTGTGCAACCATGGACAGGCTTTGGAATTCCTAGACAGAAACCCAAGAACAAGAGAAGGGAAATGACTTGCTCAGACTGGCACACAGCCAGCAGGAGCCAGGGTCTGGCCTGGAGCTGCACTATGAGCCCCAAACCTAGAGCTGGTCATCTCAGTATAGACAGCAGGCACAAGGCCCTCACTGACCCCAGCAGGCACTTCCTCCCCCTGACACCTGCCCCCAATGCCTGGCCTGCACAATCCAGCCACTGCAAGCCTGTTCTTTCATCCCCTCTTTCTAGAATGCATTCTGTTACCATCTTCTGCAGGGGTGTTCTAAGAGGATCCTGTCTATCTGGAGCCATCCTAACTACATGGAAATTCCTGCTCTATTAGAGCCTGTCAGCCTTTCTAAGCCTCAGTTTTCTCATCTGCAAGATGGGTGGCTAGCACCTCTTTGGGAGAGCTTCGGAAAGAAGCCAATGAGCCCTGACTGAGAAACATGGCACAGGCAGCCACCGGGGACCTCCCCCTGCAGACGGTGATTGTGACAGAAGATGCCACTCAAGCCATCATTCCTAGGCTCACTTTCCTCCATTTCTCCCAGAATGGAGGCTTATCCCAAAGTGCAGGTTCTGGGGATGTTGGACTCCCATCTAGAGCAAATGCTGGCACCAGGAAGGGGTATGGAGGGAGGGCCTGCAGCTGCCTTTGTCTCCTGAGAGGCAGCTCATGACTCAGGCTCCAGCTGCCTGTGGGAGGGAGGGGGCGCTCGGGCTCCTGAGGTCTCAAGGGAGCAGCGAGATTTGGGGGGTTGGGAGCCGAGAGAGACCCAACACCCTGTCACAGTCTCCATGTGCCATGTCCTGGCCTTTGCCCTCCCCTACCTGGGAGCCTCAGGTAACTGCTCTTCCCTCTGCTTGAATCCACCCTGTTAGTGTCCTTCAGGAATCTCCAAAGGCTGAAACTGGTGAGAATAGGCTTGATGGGAGCTGCACAGTATGGCCACCAAGTCAAGGACATCCTCCCTGCCACAGCCTACTCACCCTGTAAGCTCAGAAGGTGGGATTGGGGGTGTCATGCCCCCCCTCCTTTGTACAACTCACCCTCACCCTAAAGTTGGGCAGGACCCTCTTGCTACAACTGCAGTCTGCTGAAGGCACATGAGGACACGGACCCCCCTTTTAACAGCGGTACAGCACTTGCCTAGTGTGCCCAGGACCCAGGATTCCACCCTCAGTGCCAGAAAGGAGAGAGAGAGAGAGAAGAGAGAGAGAGAGAGAGAGAGAGAGAGAGGAGAGAGAAGAGACTGGGCTGGCAAGATGGCTCAGTGGTTAAGAGCACTGACTGCTCTTGCAGAGGACCTAGGTTTGATTCCCAGGACCCATATGGTGACTGACAGCGTTGGTGTTGGTAACTCCAGTTCCAGGAGATCTGAGGCCCCCTTCTGACCTCCACAGGCATTGTACTACATGGGTGCAATTATATATATGTAGGGAATACACTCGTACACATAAACTAAAATAAATTAAAAATTAGAGAGAGAGACCCTGTCTCAAAACTCAAAAGTTCTGGCATGGTGGCACACGCCTTTAATCCCAGTACTCGCGAGGTAGAGGCAGGCGAATCTCTGAGTTTAAGGCCAGCCCAGTCTACATAGTGAGTTCCAGGCCAAGCTGGGGCTACAGGGAGACAAACAAGCAAACAAAGGGCTGAGAGCCCTGGGCTTTGATGGCAGCCTCTTCTGCCTCTTGGGGCCTGGAGCCCCTCAGCTCCGCCTCTCTCCCGGACCCTGCCTGAAAAGGCCTGGCCCCACCCCTCCATCCCAGAACCCTCTCGGAGCAGGCTGCCTGTCTGTGCTCTAGAGCTGACCTCCAAGCTGCAGTTGCAGGGATGACTTTTGCAGTCCCAGAGGCCCTTTGCAGACCTGGATCTAGGACCAGACCCCAGATGCTCTGAAGCTTAGAAAAGTGGCTGCTCAGGAGCGCTCCAGACCGGTACTCCAGTGGTGTCCATCATTCACTGTCTGGGACCTCCCCCGCACCCTGGCCCCTTGTCCCACAGAATGTCTGCAGGACTTCCACAACATATGTCTCTTTGAGACAGGGTCTCATGTATCCCAGGCTGGCCTTGAACTGGATATGTAGCTGAGGATGACCTTGAACTCCAGATCGATCCTCCTGCCTCTATCTCCTGAGTGCTAGAATTACAGGGATGAGCCACCAAGCCCAGTTTTATGTGGTGCAGTAGAGGGGTGTGTGTGTGTGTGTGTGTGTGTGTGTGTGTGTGTGTGTGTGTAACAGAGCTTCAAGCATGTTATGCAAGCACTGTAACAGATGAATTTCATCCCCAGCCAGGAGCCCCATTTTGTTGATAAAAAGGTAGGTCCTGGGACATGCCACCAGCTTCTAGTGCTGGGGTGGTGGGGTGCATCCTTACTGACAAAGAGGGATCCAGAGGCCCACAGGGCTTTCCCCCTTGGCCTCACTAGTTAAGTCTCCCTGCCTCCACCAGGAGTCCCCCAGCCCTGGAACAGGAAGTGAAAGGAGCCTGCCGGAAACACCAAGAGGAACTGAGACTTCAGCCTTCTGCCCCCACCTGCCCGTCCCTGGAGACCTTGGGGAAACCAGACCATCCAAAAGGAAAAATTAGCCAGAAACAGACTAGGGGAATGGGCCTGCTTCCCTCTGTTCCTACGGTAACCAGGGGTTCTTTCAGAGTCTACCCTGGATCAAAACCAAGACCAAAGAGAAATGCTTGAGTAGTGATGAAAATAAGAGGTGGGGCCTGGCCTCATTCCCTGAGCCATCCATGCCCAAGGATGACAGGAGGGCATGTGACCCTCTTCCGGGTGGGCTTACCAGGTAGGGGCAGGAACCCCAGTCCAGCCCAGTTCTATCACTAATTGTGATTTGTGTCTTGGGATCACATAATCATGGCTTATGGATGGTCTCAATTTTCAGGAAACAACTCAACCAACAGAAGTCACAAGAAAGGTCAAGACCTTTGGTGCCACTGTCCTGGGAAACAGAGACTATTGCAAAGGTTTTAGTAGAAGGTTCTTGCTCTGTGCCTGGTACAACAGCAGTCTGTAAATAAACTCCTGACAAATGTTGGAAAGTCCCAATAGGGAATGTTTAAAGACGGAAACCTACCGTATATGACCGTCAAAATGAGAAATATATATATTCCCATATATATGTGTATATATATCAGGTCCAGACTTGGCAGCAGGTGCCTTTGCCTACTGAGCTATCTCAGACCAAGATGGGAATTTTTATGTCTACAATTACAGTGATGGACGTACACCATGCTTTCTGGGCTGGTGACACTGGCCAAGGTCAGTGCTTAGTCTTCGCTCTGATTATCATGGTGAACTCTTCATATCCAAAATGGTATCATGATTTTTTTTTTTTTTGAAGAAAGGACTCCCTGAAGTTCCAGCTGACTTGGAACTTGCTATGTAGACCAGGCTGGCCTCCACCTCACAGAGATCTGCCTACCTCTGCCTCCCAAGTGCTGGGATTAAAGGTGAATGCCACCAAGGCCAGCTTTATTTTTAATAATTTCTTTTAATGGAACATAGATCCCTCCCCCACTTCTAGGTGTTGTTATGATGATCAAGACTCCTTAGAAAGTAACACCTTATGTCAAAGAACAGAGACTCATTTTCTGGTCAGGCAATGCAGCCCTTTGGAGGGAGGGAACACTGCCTGCTCTTTGTCCCCTGTTTCACTGAACTTTTCTGGCTTTTCCCAAAGACCATCCCTCCTACTATCGGATTGTGACGGTGATTCTGAGACCTCTCCCTCTCTGGGCCTCAGTTTTCTCATTTGGAAAATGGGGGTTACTGTAAGTGGAATTTCTCTTACAATCCCTTTCAGCCTTTTTCCTCTGGGGGTTTGGGTCGTCTCTGAGGGAACGTCCTACCAGGGTATTCCTTCAGCTTCAGTTCAGATTCCAGCCCCAGAGATTACAGACCTTGTTCTATACATCCTGTGGCTCCAGAAACTGCCATCAGGGTGAAAATGCATCTTAGGTCCTAGCAGATTGGGCCACAGAAATCCACAGTTGATGATGGGCTACAGATACCAGAGAATCAGCATAATTCAAAACGATCTTCTTTTTCTTTCTCCCTGATTATTTCTAACAAAAAAAATCTCACACCTGGGGGTCTAGATTTAGTATAGAATATTTACTTAGCATGAGTCTGATCCCCAGTACCACAAAAAATAAAATTTACATTAAAAAATGAAAAAACCTTGTACTAAACCCCAAAATGAAACCATCAGCTGGTTATTCATTGCCACCATTTACATCAGTTTAAAAGCAGGCCAGCTCTGAAAGCAAGTATGAAAGAAATACAACGGCCAGGCTGGTGATGGTGATGCATACTTTTAGACCCAGCACTCAGGCACTCGGGAGGCAGAGGCAGGTGGATCTCTGTGAGTTCAAGGCCAGCCTGGTCTTCATAGTGAGTTCCAGGCCAGCTGGGGCTACAGGGAGACCCTGTCTCAAAACAACAACAACAACAACAAAACCAATGCCCAGCTACATATTAAGTATCTTCCCATTTTTTGAAAAAATTATTGTTTTTATTTTATGTGTATGCATGTATTGCCTGCATGTAGGTAAATGCACCCGTGTCGTGCAATACTTGCAGAGGTCAGAAGAGGCTGCCGGATCCCCTGGGACTGGAGCTACGGACAGTTGTTAGCTGTCATGTGGGTGCTGGGATACAAACCTGGGTCTTCTGCAAGAACAACCAGTGTTCTTAACTGCTGAGCCATCTCTCCAGCCCCGTATCTTCCCAGTTTTAAAAAATATTTATTATTTTTATTTTATGTGTATGAATGTTACGCCTGCATGTAGGCTGTGCAATGCTCAAGGAGGACAGAAGAGGCTGCCGGATCCCCTAGAACTGGAGTTACGGACAGTTGTTAGCTGCCATGTGGGTGCTGGGATTCGAATCCAGATCTTCTGCAAGAACTACCAGTGTTCTTAGCTGCTCAGCCATCTCTCCAGCCCCACCTTCCCATTTTTTCAAACATTAATTTTGCCTTAATGGTACCTTTCCCCACTAAAAGAAAAATCTCTTACACATAGTGCTTGTATTAGTCTGTTTTCATTATTGTAACAAAGTGCCTGAGGCTGAATAACTTTGTAAAGAAATAGCTTACAAGGTGGGTATGATGGCGCATGCCTTTAATCCCAGCACTTGGGAGGCAGAAGCAGGCGGATCTCTGTGAGTTTGAGGCCAGCCTGATCTACATAGCAAGTTCCAGGTCAGCTGGGGCTACAGAGAGACCCTGTCTCAAAAAGACCAAAAAAGAAATAGGTTACAGTTCTGGAGGTTTGAGGGTATACATCTGATGATAGCCTTCTTGCTGGCGGAGTCCAGAGGTAGCACAGGACATCACATAGCAAGAGACAGGCATGCTCACTGTGTGTGTCCCTTCTGGTCTCTGTCCTCCTTAGAGAGCTATCAATCTTGGGAGCTTCACCTTGATGACCTTGTTTGATCCTAGTCACCTTCCAAACATCCCACTTCTAAACACCATATGGGCTTGTTTCCAAAAATAAGAAAAGAAAAAAAAATTTCAAAGATTTTTCAAAGATTTTTATTATTATTTTAAATTTATTTTGACTATTTTAAAAATTATATATATATATGCATATGAGTTTGTGCATGTGAATGCAGGTGCCTGTGGAGGCCAGAGGTCAGAGATTTTGGATCCCTTGAAGCTGGAGTCAGAGGTGAGCCACTTGATGCTGAGAACCAAACTCAGGTGCTCTGCAAGAGCACTCTTAACCACTGAGCCATGTCTCCATCCCCTATTTATTATTATTATTATTATTATTATTATTATTACTTTGTCTTTTTGAGCCAGGGTCTCCCTATAGTCCTCCTAGTGGGCCTGAAACTTGCTATGTAGACCAGGCTGGCCTTGAACTCACAGAGATCTGCCTGCCCCTGCCTCTGCCTCCCAAGTGCTGGGAAACTAGGCAACCAGGCTAGTTTCATTTTTTTTGGTATGTATATGTGGTATCTGTCACGGGGTTGGGGGAGGATGTGCTTATGAGTGCCGGTACCCTTGGAAGCCAGAGGCATCAGATCCTCTGGATCTGGAGCTGCAGGAGATTGTGAACTGCATGTAACCTGACATGGGTGCTAAGAACCCAGTTCCAGTCCTGTGGAAGAGTAGCAATCTCTCTTAACTGCTAAGCCATCTCTCCAGTGCCCCCCCCACCAAAAAACCACAAAATTTTAAAGAGATTAAGTTTCCATCCTCTAAATTTTCAGAAGGAGGATTAATCTTCAACACTTGAAGCCCATCTAGCTATTTGAAAGCCTCAGAGCTTTAAAAGAATCTCAAAAGTGGAATGCCTTCAAGTCAAAAGCTGATGCAAAAACAACTCCATACTGGCGGGACCCTGTGTCTGTATGTCTGTTCAGGATTCAGCTAGGAGCAGCCAGGCTTCAGGGCAGAGGTTTTGGTCACTGAAGTTAAGAGCTGAATTCCTTGTCCAAGGCCCACAAAACTCAGAGGGCTCCCTGAGGGCTACTACAGCTCAGGGCCAGCTGTCTTAGTGGTCACCAGCTCCGTGGAGCCCAGTTCCGTGGCAGGCACTGGGACGCTGTGGCCTGGCAATGTGGTGTCTGCATCTTCTTTGTGTGGAGGCCAGACAGGAGCTGAGGCATGAAGGGTTTCTAAGGAGGGCAGGAAGACATTGTCCATGGGCTCTGGAATGGGTGGGGGACCAGGTAAGAAGGGTCAGGATTGAATCACAGCCTCCCTCAACTGCCTGTTCTAGAAGCCTCCTCTGGGACAGCACTCAGTGGAGGAAGTGGGACAGCACATGACAGGTCTTCAGACAGGAAGTGCTGAGTCCAGAGACCTGCCAAGTCGGGGTGGAGGGGGAAATGCTTTCAGAGGGGGAAAGTGCCTGAAAAGCCCACTGAGCCAGGCTAGGACCAGAACCCCCAGACTTCCAAAGGGTAGGGTAGACACCTTTAGGCCATACACGCTTTCTGGCTCTGGGTCTCCTACTTGGACCAGGGTCACCAGCTGTGCTGTCTTCCTGTTCACTTGATATCCTCAGAGCCAACTCAAGCCCCCCTCAGTGTGTTGCCCCTCAGTGCTGTCTCCCTGTTGGGACCTGCCCTACTCCCCAAGGGCTATACCCAGCTCCCAGCACCCCCCCCCCCCCAGCTGTCTTCTCTTCCCCTAGAGGCAGGACTCACCATCCTGGCCTCCTTCTGGGGTCTCCGGGGAGGCCATCCTGCGCTGCTGCCGCCACCTCCAGCTCACCAGGGCCACCAAAGCCAGCGCCAGCACCACGCCCAGGAGCGCCGGGGCGCCTAAGAGCAGCCCTGGCAGCGGCAGCACGGCGTCGGGCCCCATCGACTCTTGCGGCTGCTGCGCGGTCCCGGGCGCCTGGCTGCTGGGCGCTGCGGGAGGAGGAGATGGGGAGGGAGGGCGGGGGACAGAGGGGAGGGACGGCCGAGGGTCGGAGGGGACAGAAGCTGAGCAGAGAGGAGGACCGGAGCGGGGGAGAAGGGGCGGGGGAGAGAGAGGGGAGGTGAGGGTCGTGCTGGTCCCCAGGGTCCCCATCCGTCCGCTGCCTAGTCGGGATCGGTGATACCTATGGCACTGGCGGGGTGGGGAACTCGGGGCACGTGCCTCCCCTTCCCCAGGGTGATGCCTACAGCTGAGGACCCCCCCCCCGCCCGCCTTCCTTACCATGCCTGGGGTCCGGCGTGCGGAGGAGCTTGCAGGACACGCAGAAACGCACCAGGGGGTCGAAGCACTGGGCTTGAACACACGGCGTGGGCACCGACCCGTCCCTGGCCCTCCGGGTCCTGACTCGGCGCCTCGTGGCGCCCATGCTGCACACAGCTGGGACTGAGTTCTGAGCTCAGTCTCTGTGGCCCTCCCAACGAAACCCCGAGGCACCACCCTCTGCCCCCGCCCTTGCCTGCTGGGGTGGGACCATTGGGGTGGAGCCGTGCTACAAAGGGGCCTGGAACCCCAGACCTCCTTCACCTGTGGTTCCGGCCTCAACCACTCAACCGGTACCTTAGACGACACTGGGCACTGTCTGCACTGGAGGGTTGGACCAGAGTCTGCTCGTGGTCAGCCAAGGGCATGGACCTTAATCTTACCTCCTTTAGCCCCCAGATCCCCTCTGACCTCTGCTGTACCTTCCCAGGGTCAGCTGTCTATCCCCAGTTCCTCCTGCTCTACCCTTCCCAGGGTCAATACATCAAGTCCTCCTGAATGATCACTTGGGACTCCCACAGTGGTAGTGGTTGATGGAGGAAGACAGACAGTTCTAACAGCCAGGCCAGGCAGGCCTTCCTCTAATCCTCAACAACCTGCCCTCTGCCCAGCTCTGTCTCCTCGACCCCTTTGTCAGTAGTGAGAGAACAGTCAGGCACTCTGAAGCTTGTGGGTAGGTGTGGGGCTTGACCTGAGGACCACCAGCACAGGTCAGCACCAAAGGAGACAGAAAACCTTCATGAGGTGTTGATAGATGAAGCCAGGTCTAAGGGAACTTGATGGGGTGGAGTTTGAGCAAAAGCCTAGTGGCCCAAACAGGAAGGGCCAAAGAGTGCTAGGACCAGAGGGACAGCTAGAACCTGGAAAGTATCAACAGACTGGTCATAGGATGGTAGGGAACCACACAGGTTTTGAGTAAGCAGAGCCCCAGTAGGCTGTGCAGATTAGTGAGGGCTGTCTGCTCACCCACCCCAAAGCTTCTGTCCCCAGAGCTGTGTCGCACTTGCTCACCCTGTGCCTTGTCCAGATCGCTGCTGTGTCAGGCTGTACTCCTCAGTGCCTGTCCCTACTTGTCTGTTACCTGTATCTCTCTCAGACTGAGTCTCACACACACACACACACACACACACACACACACACACACACACACGCACACACACACCTTTGGGAAATATTCAACCTCCTCCCCAGGGGTCAAAGGCTAGAGGGTGCCAGAGGGAGCTCCCAGCTAGGCGTTCAGCCTGGGATATGTACTGTTGTGTCTCATGGTAGGCTTCATAAAGACCTCTGAGCATTAAGGGCTAGGGGTGCCTCAAAGCACAGAGGAAGGAGCCCTCACTAATCCAGGGCCAGGGAGGAGCTCGGGGCAAAGGGGGATTTTCAGCAGCTAAAGGGGGAGGAAAACGTGCCCTCCAGGCAGGGGCAATGGCATGGGAAAAGACTGGAAAGTGAGGGGCTGCCGGCTTTGGGGACAGACATGGACACATCTGTGGAGGATGCTGGGAGAAGCAGAGATGGGTGGAATCCAGCTGGAGCATCAGGCCTGGCAGGGAGGAGTTCCGGGTGTTTGAGTGTGTGGGGGTCTCTCTTGGTTGTGCCTTGTTTTAGAAGGGCCCTTTGGTTGTTTCGAGTTAGAGACCTGATAGAGCAGCAAGGAGGCTGGGGTTCTGGCCTATGGCAGCAGAACCTGTTCCCCAGGAGATCCTGAGGACCCCCACAGAACCTAGTCACCCAGCTTGGAGGGGCCTTGGCCCACTGCCTCTCTATCCCCTGCCTACGGGCCAGCAACTCCACAGCAGGAAGGTGTAGGCGGCAGGACAGCTACAAAGGAGAAGTGGGTCTGGGGAGGTGGGTGTGGGTGTGAGTGTGGGTGTATGGTGAGGTGAGGGGGCAGGAGCATGCAGAGAAGCCAGGGTAGGGAAAGCCCTTCTTATAGACCAGAAGACTGGGCCACAACCTCTGCCCACCCAACTCTGATCAGTACTGGGATGCTGCTGTTCTGTTATTGTTAGGGCTATGGAGGCACTCCTATGCTACGGGTCTGTCAGCCCTTGTGTTAGACACAGGCTGAGCAGACACTGGGGCTTGTGGGAATCCAGGAGCAGGGAACCTGACCCTGGGATAGAGCAAACAAGTGGGGCAGGGCTGGGATAATTCATGTGAGCTACACCCAGGATGCCAGCCTGTAGTCATCCTCAGGGTCCCAAGTGAGAGGCTTATAACTCCTGCTCAGAATTGCAAGTTCCTTCAACTGAGCCAGAGAGGGAGGCTGGCAGACCAGAAGGACAGAAGCCAAATTAATCAACTGACAAATGTTTATTGGGTACTTCCTATGGGTCCCACTGAGCCAAGTACCGGGACTAAGCCAGAGTCAGTAAAAGGTCCTCTGAGATTCATGTCTGCAGTGTATATACATACCTGACCTCAGCCAAATATTTTCCCTTGGGCCTCCAAAGTGGAACCTAGGCTGAGGTTGTGGCAGGCCTTGAATCTCTGCTTGGATGGTTTAATGATTAAGAAATTTAGGGGCCAAGGATGTAGCTCAGTTGATAGAGTATTTGCATGGCACGCACAAACCCCTGGGTTCCATCCCCAGCACTGCATAAATTAAGCATAGCGGCGTCCACCAGGAGGAGGATCAGAAGTTGGGCTACTGATAGCAAGTTTGAGGGGGCTAGCCTGGGCTATATGAGGCCCTGTCTCAAAAAAAAAATTTCACCAATGTAGGAAATGTTAGGCTATACTTCAATGTATTGGGGTTCTTTTTTAAAGTTCTTAAATCAAGCTTATTAATTTTTTTGTTTTTGTTTTTGAGACAGGGTCTCACTATGTAACTCTATCTAGTCTAGAACTTAATAAGTAGACCAAGCTGACCTCAAACTCCAGAGATTCACCTGCCTCTGCCTCTAGAATGCTGGTGTTAAAGGTGTGTGCCACGGTGCCTCATATAAGTTTATTACTTTTTCAGTTTGTCTTCTGTATAGCCTTAAAAAAGATTACTAGAGCCAGGCATGGTGGCGCACACCTTTAATCCCAGCACTCGGGAGGCAGAGGCAGGCGGATCTCTGTGAGTTCGAGGCCAGCCTGGTCTCCATAGTGAATCTAGGACAGCTGGGGCTACAGGGAGACCCTGTCTCAAAAAGACAAAAAAAAAAAAGAAAAAAAGATTACTAGTTTATTGTAAGGGAATAAAGTCAGTAAGAGTTGGATGGGAAAGCAGCTCAGGGTACAGTATATAGGTGGTCATGATGCTCCCATGCCCTTGCTGTGCAAGCATACCACCTCAGGAGACTCTCCTAAGCCTCCACATGTCCACTGGCCTAGAAGCTCCTCTGTTGCTTCAATGAGAGAGATGAGTCTAAACTTAGTGTAGCTCTTGCAAAGTTTTCTTTTAACTGGTTTTGTTTTGCTTTGGTTTTTAGGTGATGGTTTATTTATGCACTTATTTATTTGAGACAGGATCTTATTATGTTGCAAAGACTGGCCTCAAATCTGGACTCAAGCAAGTCTCCTGCCTCTGCCTCCTGAGTAGCTGGGAATACAGGCACATCCCAGCAGCCCAGCCCCAACCCTTTGAAAGAAAAACAATTTAAAAAATTATCTATCATCTATCTATCTATCTATCTATCTATCATCTATCTATCTATCTATCTATCTATCTATCTATCTATCTATCTAATCTATTTATTTTTATATGTATGAGCATATTGCCTGCATGTATGTAAGTGCACCTGTGTTGTGCAGTGCCTGCTGAGGTCAGAAGAAGGCGTAGGATCCCCTGAAACTGGAGTTATGGACAGTTGTTAGCCACCATGTAGGTAGTGGGAACTGAACCCAGGTTCTCTGCAAGAACAGCCAGTGCCCTTAACCGCTGAGTCGTCTCTCCAGCCCTACTCTCATATTCTTGAAGCCAGGTGTGGTCCTCTATGCCTATAGTACCAGCATTTGGGAGGTAGAGACAGGAGTTCAAAGCCAGCCTGGGCTATACAAAACCCTTGTCTCAAAAACCCAATTTTAAATTTCATTTATTATTATTAGTGTTTGTGTGTGTACGATGTGTGTGGGTGCAGGCACAGGGTTCCATTGTGCACATGTGGAGATCAGAGGACAATCTTTGGGAGTTCCCTATCTCCACCTGGGTTTTAGGAGGTGCACTCAGGCGTCAGGCTTGTGAAGCAAGCACTTCTTGCTGCCTTGCATGTATGATCTTGAATATAATACACGGGACTCTGCTGCTCAAACCCTTTCTAATCAAAATTTTTTAAGTGTTTTATTATTTTTATGTGTATGAATGTATTGCCTGCATGTAAGTACACCCATGTCATGCAATGTCACGGAGGTCAGTAGAGGGTTTCAGATTCCCCTGGAACTGGAGTTAAGGACAGTTTTTAGCCGCCATGTGGGTGCTGGGAATCGAACCCAGGTCCTCTAGAAGAGCAGTCAGTGCTCTTAACCGCTAAGCCATCTCTTCAGCCCCTCTAATCAAATTTTTATCCTCAATGGTCTCAACTTTTTCACTTGCTGAATGCAGCTGAGGATGACTTTGAGCTCCTGATTTCCTTCCTGTTCCTACCTCCCAAGTACTAGGATCACAGGCCTGTACATCATTAGGCCCAAACGAGACTGACCTCCAACTCGAAGATCCGCCTGCCTCTGCCTCCTGAGTGCTGGAATTAAAGGTATGCTCCATCACACCTGGCTTTTTTTTTTTTTTTTTATTAAGATGATTAATTTTGGGATCTGTCAGGGAGGAGGAATTCTTGCTCTTAAAATTTTTCCAAATAGCATCAGATGAGGAAACAATTTTCAAGGGACTAAGGGTCTTTTCAGGACAATCCAGTGAGAAAGAAGGGGCCTGGATGGGGTCTGCACACCTGACCGTGAAGCCTGGCCTGTGTCCTTCATGCTTTAGAGACTGGGGAGGTTGGGACTCTGTGTCTTTGGGACAAGCCCAGTGTGTGTGTGTGTGTGTTTGTGTGTGGGGGGGTGCAGTCCCCGAGGGCAGAGAGGCCCAGTCCCCCAGATCTGGATGTGAAACTGTCCTTAGACCCGGGGTGTTCTCGAACTTCAAATTTATTTTTTACTTGTAATTATGTCAGGATACCTGCACAGAT